TTACATTAAAAATCTTAGACCTTTTGACGTCCTGCATCAAATTAGCATATTAAGTTTATGATTACATCTTCTCATCAACTCGAAGCTGGAAATAATTATTGCCTTGATAAAAAGAAATCACAAAATATGCAATTTAAACAAAATCTTGCTAGCTATGGTTCTTGAAACAATAATTTAACTATCATGTGGTTCTAAGTTATATTATTGCCTTCAACGGTAGATATAATCTTATATTATTTTTTAATTGGATTGATAATTTGGACTTGTTTGAATGTTTCATTCTGGCTGATCTGAAAAGAATTGTGTTCACTAAGTCAAAATTAGTTGGACACGCTCAATCATTTTAATGAAATATTGGCCCAAAATTTATTTGGTGGATGCGAAACATAAATTTATGAACCAGTATTTGTTATTCAATTATTAGAGAGACCAATTGCATGATCAATTTAAAAATTTATGAACCAGTATTTGTTATTCAATTATTAGAGAGACCGATTGCATGATCAATTTAAAATTGTAAAGAAGATGATTAGGTTGTCTTTGAGTATTATTCAAGATCTATAGGTCTTGTAGCTAAATTTTACTTGCTTTTAGATTATTATGTTCCTATTATTTATTTTACCAAAGGTTTTAACAACATTTACATATGTGCTAAGCTATAATTCAACAAATATATTGCATGAGGTTTTATGTATGCCTTTGGGTATTGAAGAATATTACAATCGCTCTCTTAGGACTTTATGCCTATAATTAATGTCCTTGAAGAAAATTCAATCTTCTTTAAAGCATATCATATACAAACAATTAAAAGAATCATCTATTCTTGAATTTTATTTAATTGAAAATACTGTAGTTCATGAGTATTATTTTGAGGATATTTTGGATGCAAATTTTATTTAAAATTATAATATTAATATACATATGATGATTTTGAATTTGAATATGCATCTATAATAGATCCTATTCATGAACCTAAAATTAGACTTATCAAAAGTTTAAATTGGGATTTAAAAGCAAAATTAAGTATGAGAACTTCTAAAGAGTGATTGAACCTATGCTTGAATGTGAAACCAATCCAATCTTGTATATTATAGTTGTTGAATCATTTGAACAATTTGAAAATGCAATTCTTGATGATTTATTGACATTGTTCCTATAGCCAAAGCCAATGATAAGATTGATTTTGATATAGTTTTTATTGAAAAATTATTTCATAGAAAAACCTTTTAGAGAGAGAGAGAGTTGAGTCAATTTTTTACAGAATTTTTTAATGATGAATGTCTTAAAAGAAATTTAAAATTTTATAAATCAGATTAATTCTAAAAGGTTATGGTAGTTTTCTTTGAAGATATTGTTTATTCATATACTTGTATCATATTTGTGTGATTTTTTTGTTTGTTTTTTTATTTAATTTTCTTATCTTGTTATCTTATAAGTTGTCAATATTTTAGAGAATTTCTTATTGATGAATGCCTTAAATAAATATAAAATTTAAATTTTATCATCAGGTTAATTCGTAAGGTCTATAATTTATCATAACAAATATAATTTCCTTTAAAAGAGATTGCCCTTTCGTGCACGCGCTCGCGCGCGCATATATATATATATATATATATATATCACATCTTAGAAGTAGTTTCAAGGTATTTAGGGAATTTATTAATGATGAATATCGTAAAACAAATTTAAAATTTAAAATTTATCTATTATGTCAATTATAAAAAGATATAATTCATCATAACTAATATTTATTTCATTTTTGTTAATTTTCTAAGAAGTAATTGCTTGTTCATATATGATATGGTGCTTATGTGCAAGGTTTCTTTTTATTTTCGTTATCATCACATCTTTTTATAAGTAGCTGTGTCTTTATTTTTATCCATTAGGATGTATATTAGTATATTAACATTTGCATTACTTGCTTCCTATGAGATTCATTATTTGCATGATTTGCAAGAAGTCATTCGCAGGACAATGGTTGTTAGTTATGACAATTATAAGTTTTTTGGTTGATGTTAACAAATACAACAACAACAACATCAAGCCTTTATCCCACTACGTGTGGTCGGCAAATAATATATAAAATTTAAATTAGGTGATAACGTCAAGATAAGTTTCAATCTGGATAAGTTTCATACATGCGCATTTAATAACTTAAACGAGAGAACACAAGATTAATTTAAATCAAGTAGCGCATTGAAACAAATGCTAAGAGATTAGAAATTTCATGAAGTTTTGATATTAATCTGGTCTTCAATGTGCCTAATATAATTTTATGTCCATGAATTTACAACTAATGCCTTGAATTCCTCTTTATTTCCTATACCTTGTCAATTCGCATAGAACAATTTGTCAGATTATTTAATATAGTTTGTTCTTGAAGTTATTTTAGATGATTAAATTATGTGTACTGTTGGTGGTGGATTCCATAGATATCTTATACACTAACGTATATATTTATATGTGATGATTGATGAATTACATTGTATGAAGCATATGATAGCTATGCATTTATTTTTGCTAAAATTCTTTGGGAGCCAATTCCTTTCGAAGCCTGGCAAATTAATGTAAACTCTTTTCAAAGCCTAGTTATATTTATAGCCATCGAATTCTCTAATAAAGAAATAAAAATTTACACAATGAGTCAACTCTAAACTTAGAATGTGAAAAAGATAATTCATTTCGATTTTAGATATAAAATATTTAAGAAGAGTAGAATACTAGTCCTTACTTAAAATATTATTGCAATTAATTAATAATTATTGAAAAATTATCAAAGATAAGATTGTTTAAAGTTAATATCTATTTGATTTTGTCGGTGAGGGTAGAGGAGAGTTTGGTGGAGTGATTTGCAGATTTATCTTGATTCCTTTAAAATTTAAGTTACTTTTATAGAAAAATTTAGTAATGATTTTTGCACGCTTAGGTTTCATTTGGGACGACTTTCTTATTACTTCTTAATGCCGCTTTTAAGTACTAAAAAATTATTTTAAGAAGCAGTAAGAAAGCCATCCCAAATGAAGCCTTAGTTTTATTTGTATAGTTAATGTTTTCTTCAATTTATGAAACTAACTTTAAAGAAGTTTGATACTCATCTGCTTTAATTTTGACTTTTTGTAATCGACTTGAGCTCTTTCAAAATGTCAATGGCCTCTTCTGATGTAGTCAAATATTTATGTACCTTTTTATGACTTTGGTTGATTATGTATTGTAATTTTTATTTTGGTTACCCTATGATGGAAGGAAACCGATGATCATGCTAGGTTGGTGCTCTTAGGATTGTCTCTCCCTTTCCTTCACTTTGTTTCTTTGGATTTTCCCTTGGTTGGCTGCTGGGTTGATTTCTTGTGTGCCTTTTTTTTTCCTCGTTTTTCCCTCTTGGTTGTTGTCTCTTAGGTTTCTGTGTTTATTGGTTGCTGTGTTGATGCTTCGGTTTCCGCCTTGACAGTTGTCCCATCAGTTTTTATATTCATTGGCGGTTGTGTTGATGCTTCGGTTCCCCTAGGCAGCTGTCCCTTCGGTTTGCTGCAGTTTTGTGGTGTTCCTAGTGGCTAGATGAGAGGTGCTTTAACTTCCTGTATTAATTGCTCTTTTCCCTATAAATAGGGGTTGTTTTCCTTCGGTTGGAGTTTTTAGTGAAGTGTTTGCATACAAAGCTGCGAGTTTTTAAGCTTGAGAACTAGCCTCCTTTCCCCTTTCCCTCTACTTCTTCGTCTCAATTTTCTGCCTCTTCTTCTCTTTCCACGGTTCCCACCCTATATGCATCCTTCTTCTCTTGTGAGCTTTGTGGTGTTTGCTGTCACGTTTTGGTTGGTATTTGCTGGAGGAGGGTAGACTTGTGCCAGATCGTTTCAGTGGTGGATTCCGGATTAGATCTTTTCTTTGAGCATCTATCCTAATTTTTTTGAGCTTTGCATGTGAGGTGACCACTTGGTTGTATTGAGGGTAGCCTTATTTACATTTTCTTATGTGTTTTTCCCTACATATTTTTTAAACTGCCTTCTAAAATTTGTTTCTACTTTTAGTTTTTTTAACATGTTGATGTTTATGTTTTATTGAAAGGAAGAATCTTTCTAATTGCTTTCCTAAGTATTTTCCATAAAATATTTAGAAACTTAGGTTGCATCATCTTCTGAATTAAGATCATTTACTGATGATTCAGTCGAAACAGGAAAAGCTATAGAAAACCTCAGTGGTAGGACCTCGGTTGTGGTATTCATTTTTAGGTCATATTGAGCTATTGTCACATTGTATTCATCAGCTTTTCGGCCAGCCTATCAGGACTTGAAAACATTTTATGTTTTGAAGATGTTGTAGAAGTGGACAGATTTTGCTTGCTATTTTTATGTTTTTTATTATCGAATTTAATCTTCTGAGGAGAAAATTGCTATTTTCTTAGCTTCAATGCAGGGTATACAATGATATTCAAAACCGATATCTTGAGAGCATATGGTTTAACCCTTTTTTACAATCTTACCAGATTTTGATAGGTTCCAGGCAATTTTTTTGTTAACCGCAGAAAGTGCTAACTGAATGATCTTAGATTAGTGGACTCTTCTGGGGACTTGTAGATTGATGTTTTACTCAATGAAATCATTACATCGGAGGAATTTCGAAGAGATTTGTTGAACTTAAATTTAATTTTGGTTTTTAGCTGTATCTAATCAGAAGATGAATTTAATAAATGTTATGTTTTTTTTTTCTTTTCAAAAACATTTTGCTAAATTAAAACAACATTATGAAGGAGAAATTATTCTATGCGGAGACCGGATGCAAAACACTGTTTGTAAACCAACCAGAATGCGCCACGTCAGCGGTACCGAGCACAGGGTGATGTGACGCATTTTAATTGGTCTCTGGATAGTGTTCGGCGTCCGCATAGAATAATTTTTCCTTATAAAGCAAGCTTCTCCTCGTTAAAGATTTTAAGATATTAACCTTATCTTGATTGTTGCCATTACTACATCAAAGTTCTTTTTTCTCTTTTCCATTGGCTGCAGTTTCTACAGGTGCAGTTTTGATCCTGTGCTTGGTGGACAAATGACGCAGCAGGAGTATGTTCGATTCCTCAAATCGGAAAGCCACCAGCCAAGATCAGCCAGCCAACTCGCGAGCTAATTTGCTAAACCAGCATTTTACAACAAATATTGTGGAACCAGAGTAATTTTTCCTTAAGATGCATATATTTTATACAGAGAGTTTGTCTATCCTGTAAATTAATCTCTAATTAAGGCTTCATTTGGGACTGTTTTCTTAATGTTTTTTAAAGCAATTTTTTAATACAAAAATTTTTATACTAAAAAAATTGCTTTAAAAAAGGGTAAAAAATTCATCCCAAATGAACCTGAAACTGTATGGAATTGATATCGTGATTACCCTTGTATAAACTCAGGGCTAATGCTCTGATGTTCTTGCAATTTATTGTTGAGGTTTTTATTTGGTGCTGGAAGCTCAGGCTTGGCTAACACAACGTTTCAGGATTCTGGTCAAATTATCATTAGTTATTTTCCAAACGCCAAATCTTCTTATTACATTTTATTAGATGTAAATATGAAAAAATTATCACTTGCGGAGAGCGGACATAGAGAACCGTTCAGTTTATCTTTGTGAACAGCTCACAAAGATAAATCGAACAGTTCTTTGGGTCCGGCCTTCGTACGTAATAATCTCTTGTAAATATGAGGGTGGAATCTCGAGCTTATTGTGTCACTTATGATTGTGAAAATCAGATCGAATTGGATGGTTAAATTGGCCTTCAAAGATGTTTGATTCTATTAAAAATCTATTTTGCAGAGAACCATTATCGAGCTGTTAAAATAGTCAGATTGCTCAATCTGTCAAATTGAGAAAAATCATAAAAGAGATGATGTTAAAATGTAATGTTTTTAAAATTTATTTCATGTATGTTTATTATCAGAAATTCATTGCATTTTAATAATTTAATTAATTTTTAGGTGTTTACATCATTACGATTAAAGTTTGTTGAATTATTTAGTTTTGAGCCTGAATCAATATAAAAACCTTAGTATCACCGGTGCTGGACTGCTTAAATGCTTAGTATAGATCAATATGTAAGTACTATTAGTCGATTAGTGAGATAATTAGCTTATAATTTACTATATTATTTGACTAGATTTGGGTTGCTTAAAAATTTATGAAGAATTCAAGGCATTCAAAAAATGTTTGATTGAATAATAAGGAAATGTATGTGTTGCAAGCTTGTTAGGCGTTGAAAGGAATTATGGGAATACAAATTGATGGTTGTGAAGATGAGAAATTATTCTGTGCGGAGTCGAGATAGGATTGAATGCAACAATACCTCACAGTCAACTAAATGCAATGATATATGAATGCAAGCAAGTACATCAAACCAACGGTGAAGGTGGATATGATGCAAGTATGTATAGCATGCAACAAACACTATGGTGTCCATGCAGCCGACAATAGTAGTACACTACAAGTATATTTAACCATGCAAGCAACAGCAAGCGACATGCCGTGAATTGTCGATTAATGTGTATTTACAAAGTACAAGACAAATACAAGTTAAGTGCAACTTAGTATCATTTGAATGCAAACAAATGCATCAAAAATCTTTACAAATGTTGATGAGAGATTTGGTAACCCCTCTACAAATACATATGAAGAAGTTGTATTAATTGCAAGTATATGCAAGCTGCTATCCAATAAGTACATTTATCCCTTACAGCATATCAGATAGATGCGAATTGGACAACAACCAACTACCAACCAGTATACACAAAAGGATGCAACAAAAATTGCAATGTCATTTAGAAATGAATGCTAATATGCAGTGAATGCTGCAACTTCTCTACGAGCCCGTAGTCAACAACAATAATGTCTTACCGCCAACATCAGTATCTTGCATATTAAGTACACAAATGCGACCTATGAATGATGATAGTGGATACAACACAAGTACAGTGGCTCTCCTATGAGCATATTTAATAGGATTGAGGTAGATATGCAAAAAAAGAACCCATGAATTGATGATTCGTATGCAAGCGGTACCAACAGTCTGTTGTGAATGTAAACCCCGACAAACAGCTGTAGAAAGCTCATCAAGCTACAATGACCTATCTATGAATAATGATGTGCAGCTTGTAGCAAATGTTAGGTCACCCCTGCAGTCGACAACAATGAACAGATGAACAAGTGCATTGATTCACTTACAAGAAATGACATTTGATATGATACTTATGGTTAACAATAGTAGGTGTATCATGAATACGAGGGATCCCCTATGAAAATAAGTACATACAACACCTATAAGTACATGTAGGAGATATGTTTTACATAATAGTCCATATAAGGGTGATGACGTACAATGTGCAACAAATCTTAGATCATTCTTGCTATCAATAACCATCCAACAACAAAACAACTACATTGATCCTTAGCACTTGATGTCAACATGTGGATAAATATGCAAATCTACCAACAATCAACCGGTGCAACCAATGATGAATGTGTACAATAGTACTTTCCTCCTACAAACACTTACAACAACAGTGATTGAGATGTTGCGAGTACGTTGGGTATAAAAGCAACCGTAAGTATCTGCAAGATGCTGATGTACAACTAGCAAAAGACTCTAACTGCAATGTTGTGACGTGAAGCATGCAGAGTTGAATGATTCTATATAGTCAAAGAATGATTAGTTGAAAAGGTATTTCATCTCATCATTCCTGCATAGATAGCGAAGACTTCCAACAACCGCAAGTATCTGCAGACCGCCGTAAGAAACGAAATGACGATGTACTAACTAAGCCTTTGGTCTTAGCAGATTGTAGTACATTATCTATAACAAAATGACCTCATGTTGTTTAGATGTGTTTACTCAACCTCAATAAGGGTCGGCTGATTCATGGATCCGCTATCCCTAAGAATGAGAAAAGGGAACTTACATTAAAACAATGAGGTATCTTATGGAAGTTGGGTGATAATGCTACGATCCACCTATATGCAAAAGCAGGGAATCAATAGTAAAAATCACGGGCAACTAAGGCATGATGCCACACTACCGGATGTGCAAGACTCGTACGAACAGGCAGAAGGCGTCAACGAAGTCCCACGGAGTCAACAACAACAATCACTAATGCAGTCAGACACCCCTTTGCATTGCATGCGAATATTCTGAAATGCCCCTCACACATGCATTACATCATGCATGATAGATTATATAACCATTTCATCCAATATTGCATTTACATGCATGTGTGTTATATTTGTAAGCGCATTTTGGCATGCATCTGTAGGATGCATAGGATTTCATTCTAGTGTGACATTCTGACATTGCTATTGCATTTTAAAAAGACCTCTCGCATGCATTAGTGGTAAGCAGAGAATATCATTCTAGCGTGTTGATTTGATAATGCTATTGCATTTCAAAAAGACCTATGGCGTGCATGTGTAGGATGCCAAGGATTTCATACAAGCATGTCATTCCAACATCGCAATTGCATTGCAAAAATACATTCGCATGCATTTGCAATAAGCAGAGGGTTTCACTCCAATATATCATGTGACACTACAATTACATTTAAAAAAAACATATTATGTACACACGTGAATGCATCGTATGAAATGCATCCAACGACACATACTTACATAGGCTCTGACGAGAGAGTTTTAGATACATACGTGACGCCTAAGAATGATGTGCGGGTTAAGAAATAAATTTAGATTCAAATCCAATTCTCTGTCGGCAAATAAATAAAATTGCTATAAGATTTATTTAAGTTTATTTATAAGATTTATTTATCCTATTTAATTACTATTGATTAAAATTAGATTCACATCATGCTGAAGTAAATGTTTGCACTTTTAAAATATTATTATAATTCTTATTATTTGACAAAATAATAAGTTTAATGTTAATGTGACAACATAATTTCATAATAAATATCAAATACAAACCATAATGCCATAGCATGATGTATGTGCACGTTTCCAGTCCAAATGAACATAAAACCCCATTCCCTCCTCTCCCTCCCAACTAAACGGCGCACTTCTTTCTCCAGTCTCTCATCGCTCTCCTCTCATCTCTCCCTCCTTCACCACCGCGCCGCTCCCCACCACCTCCCCAAAGCCCGCGAGCTCCACGCTCTTCTCCTCACCTCCAGCCTTCTCTCCTCCTCACCCCCTGCCCTCACTTCCCTCATATCCCTCTATTCCAAATGCTGCTGCCCCGCTTCCGCCCTCTCAGCATTCTACTCTTCCCCCTCCCCTCCCAACCTCTTCGCATGGAACGCCGCCATCTCCGCCCTCTCTTCCAACACCCTCCCCGCCGACGCTCTACTACTTTTCCGCTTCCTCCGCTCCCATCCCTCCCTCTTCCCCGACCACTTCACCTTCCCCTGCGTCATCAAATCGATCTCCGACCTCGGTGACGCCGGGGATCTTAAGAATATCCACGCCCTGCTCTTCAAGTTCGGTTTAGTTTCAGATGTCTTCGCCTCAAGCGCGATGGTAAACGGTTACTTGAAATTAGGAATCGTGGACGACGCAGAGGTGGTGTTTGATGAAATTCCTGAAAAAGATGTGGTGCTTTGGAACTCCATGGTCAATGGGTTCGCGCAAATGGGGCGATTTTCGAACGCGAAAGACTATTTTCACAGAATGCTGGAGGAAGGTATGGTTCCAAGCAGGTTTACAGTGACGGGAATCCTCTCCGTGTTCACTTCTACGGCTGATTTGAATGGTGGGAGAAACATTCATGCTTTTGTTGTGAAGATTGGATACGGGTTTGATGTGGCGATTTCAAATTCTCTTATTGACCTCTACGGAAAATGTCATGATGTGGAGGAGGCGGCGGAAGTATTTGAGTCTATGTTCGAGAAAGATATATTCTCCTGGAACTCTATAATTTCCGCTTCCGAGTACTCCGCCGACCACCCGAAGGCTTTTCAGCTCTTCCGCCAAATGCTTTGCGTTGGAGTTCAGCCAGATTCCATCACAGTGGCTGCCGTCCTCCCCGCCTGTTCCCAACTGGATGCTCTGGCACATGGACGGGAGATCCATACCTACCTTCTTCGCCACGGGATCAGAGGCGATGTCTTCGTGGACAATGCTCTAATGGATATGTACGCCAAATGCGGGATGCTTGATGACGCGCGCAACGTGTTTGATGTAATGCCTAACCGAGATGTTGCGTCCTGGAACATCATAATTGATGCATATGCGTCTCACGGGCGGGGAGAGGATGCCCTAAAGCTCTTCAACGCCATGACCACTGAACCTGATGAGGTCACTTTTGTTGCAGTGTTGTCAGCATGCAGCCATTCTGGATTGATGGAAATCGGGGTGAAAATTTTTGAGCAAATGAAAGTAATGCCGGTGGCTGAGCATTACTTGTGTATGGTGGACATGTTTGGCCGGGCGGGAATGCTTGAAAAGGCCAAGGAGGTGGCTGCAGCGGCAGAGAAGGCTTGCGGGATGAAGGGGTGGAGGACGTATATTGCGGCGTGCAAGGAAAGGGGGCAGATGGAGAGGGTGGTGGAGGCGGCAGAGAGGCTAGTGGAGATGGAGCCAGAGGGGAGTGGTGCTTGGGTGATGGCTGCGAATGCATATGGGTGGGCGGGGAAGTATGAGGAGGTGGCAGAATGGAGGGGCGAGATGTGGCGGAGGGGGGTGAGGAAGGTGCCTGGGTGCAGCTGGGTTGAGGTAGCTGGCCATGGTGTGCATACTTTCATTGCAGGTGAACGGTGTCATCCGAGAGCAGAGGCCATTTATGCTGTGATTCATGAGCTTGCTGGATGGATCAGGGATGGTGGATACTTGGCTCAGGTTGGATTGAATGGACCTGGTGAGTACTGGTGGAATTAGGATTTAAGAGGGCAAAAGGGTTATCTCAAAATTTAGAAGGACAAAACTTTTATAATATGCATGATTGGAAGGGATGATTGCAAGGGAGTATAAGGGTATAATTTTTAAATTATGCTTAGATACAAAGAATTTTCTCAAATTTATGGGGCATTTGGCACGCTTTGGTTTCTTTTGGGACGGAAGCAGCTTTCAAGTATCAAAATTTTGCACTAAGAAAGCTGTTTCAAATGAAGCCTTAATCCTCCTAATTCCACTGCTGAGGAGAACTTATAAAGAAGCTGAATGCCAGCCGTGCTGGTGTTCTTGTGAGATTCACTGGCCCAATATCAGCCAATTAAGGCTGATCTCCCCTACGTAGCCACCTGGAGGGAGGGCTCAAACTTCAGTCCGAGTTGCCGCTAAGGATGAAGCAGCTAATAATTTTCTGTAAAAAGTGTTGCAGTTGATTGGCGGGAACTGTTTGCAGATCAATCAATTAACAATTTACATGGACTTAAAAGATTTAATGCCCTTTGGCTTCGCTGAGCTATTGTGAAGTCTCATGTCGTTCATTTGGGTCCGATTTGGAGGACTCTTTTCTACTGACAGTTGTTTTTTTGTTTATGAATAGAGATATGGAATAAATGTCAGTTGTCAGTGATAGCTTATCACATTATATGCAAGCAGTATTATGTACCGCTACCTCCAGATTCTCTGCCGCAGGGACTGTCATCTTTCCAGTTTATAATCCTCACTTTACACTCCAAAGCTCTTTCACAAGCAAATTCCACAATGGAGCTTGCTGCCACAGGTAGAACCACGTATTGCCTAGGGTGGACAATTGCCCAATTTTAATTCTCTTAATAATATGGATTTTTTGGTATTTTGATTTCAAGGATTTCATTAGTCTTCACATGCTGCAAATCAAGCAAGACAGCTACACTTTATATGAATATTGAAGAATAGTGTGCAAAGCAAATGAATTAATATAAATGTCTTTGCAACTCTATTGGAATAATGAATGTTAATAGAAAATTGGAACATTTTGACGATAAGATTAGAATCCAGAATGCAAGCAAATTAACTTAGATTTTGAATCTAAGGTTTCTATTAGGACGGTTTTCTTACTGCTTTCTAAAAAAAATTTTTAGTAAAAAAAATAATAATTTTTATATTAAAAAATTATTTTAAGAAGCAGTAAGAAAGTCATCCCAAACAAAGCCTAAAGCTACTCCATTGCCAGCTTTTATTGATGAACTTGGGATGCTTTGCTGGAATATAAGAGATTTCAATTCAATGTAGTTCTTAGCCCTTATTGCTTCCACATTGACTTTGCTTACCTGAATTCTAAAGTTCAATATCTTGTACTTCAGTTTATTTCTTAATTTGCATTTAGGAGGAATTGAATCTAATAATTGCCTATTTACAACTTTCTTTGGAGAAAGCAAATTTTTGCATGGTTATTAGCCTTCAATTTGTGAATCTTATGATCTACATGTAAATTCTGCAATTAATTGGATAATTCTTTTCTGATTTGAGTTATCTAAAGCTAATTTTTTAAAAATTGAATTTATGGCTCTTGAACACCAATTATTCACATATATTATTGATATGCAAATAAGTGATAAGTTTCCATCTTTGACTAGCATTGATGATCTTGCAAAATAAATCATTAAAATAAAAAAGATGTGTATCATTTAGCTTACAGGTTTATTATCATGATATTAATTTTATCAGTTGTTAGTGCTAAGTGAATAGAGCATTTTCTGTAATGAATATTATCAAGCATCAACTGCATAGTAAAATGAACGATGATTGAATCAATTATTATTTTGCACAATATATTGAAAAAATATATATTTGATTTGATTCTCAATGAAAGTACAATGCAACGTTATTAGAAATTAGTGCATTGTATTGAAAGCTGAAAATTTTTAATAGTTAACATTGTAGATGAAGCAACTCAAGTGATCTTTTTCCATCACAGTGCACATTAGGAACAATGTAACGCAAGAAATCCTAATGAAAATTCTAGAAAAATGCAAAAACGAAGAACAGCAAAGCTGCCATATTTCTTCAATTTCCAAGCAAATTCCGCTTCTTTGCAGTGTTCATGTATGGTCTTATAACCCACTCATTCTGAGCTTCACTTTGATCAACCGTCCCCAGCTTGATCTGTCACACCAAAACCAAAGAAGTTATGTATGGCATTGCGGTATTCATAAACCAGTTCATATTTGATACATGATTCTTATTTAAAAATTAGGAGCGAGAACAATCTGATTTCATGCACCGTCCAAAATCAGGCTCAAAATTAGGAGAAATTATTACGTACGAAGACCGAACATAGAGAACCGTCTGGTTTGTCTCTATGAATAGTAAAAGCGCAGTTCAAAGAGATAAAATCGAACAGTTCTCTACATCCGGTCTCCGCACTTGTAATAATCTCTCCAAAATCAGCATGTGGCCAGAATTGAGTTGATTTGAAGACAGCAGGCCTAAATCAACTTGACTTTGAGCAAGCTCAAAAACTTGATTTTTTTTTTTTCCATGGACTGATTAAAATCATTTTACATGTACTTATATGCATATTTGAATTTCAGTTTGAGCATGAGTTCCATGACCCAATGTAGTGAGAAATTTTTTTGTGCGGAGGCCGGATGCAGTATGTCGTCCAGAGACCAATCAGAATGTGCCACGTCAATGGTACTGAGCCACGGTACCAAACAGTACCGAGCCACGTTACCGAGCGAGGGGGTGACGTGGCGCATTCTAGATGGTCTCCGGACGGCGTTTGACGTCCGCATAGAATAATTAATCCAATGTACTAGGCTCAGCTCGAAGATCAAACTGCGATTAAATTAGATTGCAGCTCAACTCATTTGACTTGATTTGATCTTGATCCGAACCAAAAAAACCAATTTAATTTACAAGCTAAACTCTCAGCCTTTTAGCTAAAATAAACGAAAGCAATTAGAAACATGAAGAGTAACTCTTGAATTAAGTAAACGGAAACAAGCAACTAACCTGGAAAAGCCTAAGCTCAAAGCGAGGACCAACCTCCTTCAACTCAACTGATTTGGGGCCACCTCGTTTCTCGTAGACGTGGTGTCTGAATGTAGAAAAATAAAAAAATAAAAACAATTAGATGTGCAAGTCTCGAGCGACTGCAAGATTCTTGCTGTAATGACATACATAAAATGCATGATTTGATGATCATCAGTTGACAGACAAGTTGGATTAAGGAAATTTCTGATTCCCCTAGATTTATTCGCCACCAAAATTCATAATAAGGATTAAGTTTCCTTTCTGCAGGTGTTAGCAGAAGGCACTAATTGGGGTATGGCGTAATTAACGAAGCTGAAATTCATTTTCATCCTCAGCCAATCCACTTTCCTTGTGAAACTGCAACAACCTCGTACACCGGATGAGTCTAAAAAAGGCATTCGAGTCTAAAGTAGAAAGAAATGTAAATCAAAGCAGTAGCACTAACATATCCGTTAACGATGCTATAAATAGAATTAGGAAGGATTGATTCACCAACAGAAGGAGATGAAAGATTCAGCAGCAGACAACTAAGAGAGTGTAGCACAATAATTGGTTGATCTGAAAAATCCAGAGTTGGATTGACCCGTTTAATAAACTGATCAAATTTAAATTGTGTGTTCCCCCATTTTAAACTGGTCAGGCTGACCTACCAATCTGATTTTTTAATATTTTTTTCTTAAATTTCTTTTATTTATTGGTATAATCATTTTATTTTTTATCAATTGATCTAAAATTTATGATTAATAAGCTAATAATTTTTTTTTAAGAATGGATTAATGGATCGGGTTTGGGTTCAATTTTTTCACCCAATTAAATGGGTCAGATCAATTTCAGCCAAACATGAACCCAACTCGTTGGCCCGTTTTGACACCCCTAACCAAAATTTAAGCATACAACAACATCAAGGCTTTATCCCATTACGTGGTGTCAGTTACATGAATCATTTTTCTCCATTGTGCCCTGTTAAAAGTTAAATTTTCATTTAGATCTAATAAAGAAAGGTCATTTCTAATATTTTCTAACTAAGTCTTTTTAAGTCTATATCTATCTTTCTTAACATAAGTCAAATATAATACATCTACTTACCTAACCGAGTCATTGGAAGTCCGCCATTTTATGTGACCAATCCATCTAAGACGACTCTCTCTAATCTTATCTTCCGTAAACAAAATTCAAACATATGAGTTACAATTTGGGCTAATTTAATTAATTCAATTTAGAAAACACAAATAAATATATTAAAGTTGTTATTTGGTTGGATGTACTTGCATATCAATATCGAAACACACTTTCTAAATCCCTTAAAAATTGCAGCTAATTTTGGTCTGCTGGCAACCACAAGATCTTGGGTTCGAGCGTTGCGTATGTGATGTGTGTGTGAGTTTCAATTTCACACATGCAATGAATGAAAAGACAATCTAGTCACAAAGCATGTTTTCCATCACTGATGTACAACAACATCAAGCCTTTAAAGTATGACACATTAACTTAATACCTCTATAATTCGCACAATCTTGTGCATCACCTTTATTCTTAAAAATAGGAATTAATACGCTCATTCTCCACTCATCTGGCATCTTTTTAGTCTTCAAAATAGTATTAAAAAGTTTAGTAAGCCATGAAATTCCTTATCTCCTAAGCATTTCCACACCTCTATTGGAATATCATCAGGTCCAACAGCTTTTCCACCCTTCCTTTTCTTTAAAGCCTCTCTAACTTCAGTTTTATTAATACGCCGATAAAAACAGAAATCTTTATTTTCATTTAGGGTGCTAAGGTCATTATAGTCAATCTTATATTCACAATCTTCATTAAAAAGTTTAGCAAAATATCTCATCCATCTTTGTTGAATATCATCTTCTAAGAAAAGTATTTTTTGATCTTCATCTTTAATACACTTTACTTGAACTAAATCCTTACTACTCCTATATCTTTGTTTGGCTAACTTATACATATATCTTTCTCTCTCTTTAGTATCTAATCTATTATATAAATCACTAAAAACTAATGTCTTTGCATCGCATATTGCTTTCTTAGCATCCTTACGAGCCACTATATATATTTCTCAATTATCAGAATTTTTAAAATTAAACCAATTTTTATAACAAAGCTTCTTATTTTTAATCTTTTCTTGCACATTTGAATTCCACCACCAACTACTTTTACTATTAGGAGCTTTTCCCTTTGATACTCCAAAGATATCTTTTGCAATATTCTTAATATCACTAGCCACTTTTTTCCACATAATATTAGCATCCTCATGCACAGACAAAATCTTAAGATCTAAAATCTTATTTCCAAAAATATTTTTGTTAATATTCTTTAAATGCCCCCATCTAATCCTAGAAAATCGTTTTACTTTATTTTTTATTTTATGCCCTTTTATCTTAAAGTCCAAAACTAAGAATCGATGTTGGGTACATAAATTTTCACTCGGAATAACTTTACAATCTTTGCAATCTAAACGATTTAGTTTTCTAAGAAGAAAATAGAATGCAATAGTTACTAAAAAAGTTAGGGTAGTGATGGGTGGATGATAACAGTTGAGGAAGTCAAAATATGGTCAATGCCCCATAAATGGTACTACATACTAACTGCCGTTATCCAAGATGGTTCTTTTGAGAACCGACTCTCTTTGCAATCTCAGGTATCAAAAAGAGCAAATTCATGTACATTTCTGACATTGATGCTTCTAGTTCACCAACTAATAATTGAAGTTCATAATCGAACATTATTTCACATTCTACGCCATTGCAATACAAGCAGATGAAAATAAGTGGCTTCTAATTTCTCCGTCTTCTATTTAGGCAAAAAAAAAAAAAACAGCACCAACCTGAATGAAATGTAATCAGACCGATTAGCAAGAGTAATTATGCGCTTGGTGTCTGGCTTAGGTACTGGAAAGAGATGCTTAAGAATGTTTGCTGTTCTTTGTCCAAGCTGCAGAATATCATATTAAGAAGGTTTAATGTGTAAATATCAAGCGTCAATTTCATGTAAAAACACCGTCACATTGAAATTATAAAGAATTTAAAGCCTCAAGCACAATCTTTACAAGTACACAGTAAATTAAGAATTTGAATTACAAACATGACCTGCATGTTTTACTGTGCTTCTAGCATGATCAGAGAATGTGGCATTGGCCTTTCTGAAATTGCAAGTTGGGTAATAAGACATCTAAGAAAGCTACTTGGTCATCTGTAAGCAAGGTGGTTACATGACACTGAATATGTAATTGTGCACAGTATGGTATATAAATAATTATACAGTTATGTATGAGCATATACACACATGCCTCTATATATATATGCTACCGTTAAATAATCTATGTCAAAGATCTAAGTGAAAATAGTAGGATGAGAAATTTCATGGTACGACGCCACATTACAACAGTCAAACATCATATTATAATGCAAGTGCCACACTCAATGTAGAAGATCACCAATAGTGAAGTATGATGTGACACAAACAAAATATAAATGAGATTAAGAGGGTAAAATTTTGGAAAAAGATATACGGCAAGATTTTGAAAAAATTTGGAGAATTGAGAGAAGATGATTCCACCACTAATTTTGCCAAAATGGAGTCTATTTGATCATTTCAATGGAGAGAAATGAGAAAAAAATAGATAGAGTGCAAGCTCAATTAAATTCTCAGAAAAATACCAAAAATAAATAAAGAATTTTGGGGGAAATTCACCCCATTCATTTGTCAAAATAAGCTTCACTAGATCATTTTTTCTGCAAGTGGTCATAAATATTGTATTATTTCTTCATTGAAATTTCACTTTTATTAATTATATGTAATTTGAGCCAAGCTCATGATATGTAATGCAAGTAATCCATATCAATGTGATTCGTAACATGCTTAGTAGAAAACTCCTATATTTCGAAAGCATTATTAAGTAGGCCTCAATATTTGTGCCATATAAATGAAATATCATTTTAAGCCAAGTTCATAGAAAATCATGCTATTTGATCAATTCATGTGAATGTAAGTATAATTTCTATGAAAATTTTAAACATGGACAATTTGATGTGCTTTTCAATTTACATGCCACCTTGGTTATCCTTTTTATAAGAGCATTATTTTGAAAATAGATATTTGATATCCACAAAGCTTCTAACCATGTACTTTACCATAGAGTTTCCCTATTTTTACTAAAATAATTTAGTTAATGCTCTGTTGAAATTTTCAAATCAAATTATGATTTGACAACTGATTATTTGTAGGAACCACACACCCTTAACCATGCTTATTTCTGGCCAATGGCCATATGTCTATATAAATAAAATACATAAATATAAATCAAGGACTTCAAATATGTCCTATGAATTGAGATCTATGTAACCTAAGTTCGATGTGATCTATTACTGCTAATTACTTATAAGGGTTGGACCCTATTGCGTGTTATAAAAATAAAAACATAAAGTTTATGTGATGTGGATGTCCACTAATATTTTGCATATATTTCATACTATCTGATGGTTAACAATTAAAAATCTCATATAGCATTTGCTCACTGCTTTCTTCTCCAATTATATTTGGAATGATTCTCAATTTGTTTATTCTTGTAAATCTAGCAGTCAATTAATGAGTCAAGAAACCCGCAAAATCTCACTATTATTTTTTTTATGGATTGTGTCCATGGGCCTATTTGGTTGTGGCATAAGTTAAGCTAAGCTAAACCTTTCTGCAAGTTTAAGTCATTTGGTTGGAGATATAGATAAACTGTTCTAAGACAAGATAAGCTAAGAAAATTATTTGGTTTAAGCTAATTGTTTAGCCCATATTAAGCCCTAATTTATAATTAGGCATGAATTGCCCTTTATAAATATTAGTAAACCTTAACTAGCAAAATTTAACTTAAATTCTTGTAAGTATACTAAACTCTCTTAATTAAAATCTTTATTAATCCTAGGTTATTTTTTAGTAATCAAATTTCATTTTTAATAATTATGAGAAATTAAGTGATCAATTAATTATTCTCATATTCAATTATCATAACAAAATAGTAAAAAACCTTAATTATTTGAATAAAATCTTAATTAATTCACAATTATTCTAATAAAATAGTTATTGATTTTTTGTAAATTATTTGTTTATTAACTATTCAAGGTTTATTATGGCTAATACATGAAAAATATTTATGAACCCAATCAAAACCTTGATTAATGTTTAATTAGTCAAAATGACTTATTGCTTTATATAAATTGTTAATTAATTAATTAATTACCCTATGCTTGATTTTTATAATTTAATACTAATAATTTGTTAGTGATCTTTCATTTAGATGATTTTATAGAATTGTTGTGCTTCTAAACTTTTTTCTTAGAGGAGTGTAATTAGAATGCGAAGCAAAAATTATGTAATAATCTCACTGCAATTATAAGAATTTAACAAATAATTCTAGCAATGATTTTACTGGATATTTGAAGCAACAATATGTTATACAAATTTAGAGGCAAAAAGCGGAACTCCAAATCTAAAGTTGCAAAGCCATGGATCATCTAATAATCATCATATGCATTCTTATTAATGAACATCCCTTGCATTGGAGGCTATAAGTTGGCACATAGAACATCAACTTTTCAAGACAATTTTGAAGTTATTAAAGTTATTTTATAGATGTAGGATGTCCTAAAGGAACAACTTAAAGAATTAGATGACCTTCGATGTGGATGTATGCTTGTCGACTTTGAATGAACTAAGAATTTTTTTATACATCTAAAAAAATGTGGGGATTAGTAAAGATTTGTAGGAATTAGGTATTATCTTGTTGATTAAAAAACATAAACTCGGCAATTATCATAGAGAACAACTATGGAATTATGAGAGTACCATTATAATCTGATTCCAGCAAAAAAATTGCAGCATTTCATGAAATCAGCCTTAAATGGTTAATCAGGACAAATAAAAACACTTTGGAATGAGAATTCCAACAATTTTAAATGAGGACATTAATAAGTGCATTCACATAATTTTAAAAGCACAAAACAACAATAGATAACAGAAATGGGTAAGGAGGAAAATGACAGCTAATAGAACTACGAAATATGATATTTGGTGAAATCACTAAGCCTTTTTAATGCATACTTAACCGATACCAAACTTAGAGAAAATATACATTTCATCCATCCCAAAAATAAACTCACCACCCACACATAAATTTAATCCCTTAAATAATTTTCCCATGTGGACATTATTTATCATGAACATTAACTGCACTAACAATCACTGTTCATGTGAAGATAACTTGATATTGTTCACCATTCACAATAATTGTGAGGATATTTATTATTCACAATACCAAACGGTTGCAATGGATTGATGAAGATTGATAATAGACTCGACCATCTAGATTATTTTCTCACTCATAGTTGGCACACTTAGGCTATCATGAGAAGAAGACCTTGTTGTCGGAGACCATTGGCTCACTGATGAGAGCATCCAAGATACATTGATGAAATTTGGGTTAGGCTGTCATGAGAGGATGACCATGTTGTCGGAGCCCATTGGCTCCCTTGATGAGAGCATCCAAGAAACATAGATAAAATTTGGGTTGTATATGACAGTTTCAATGGGAATAAAGGAATCAAGGGGCTAAGCAAATGTGATAGTAGCACTGCAAGAGAGTGTAGAGCGGAATTTCTTTAAGAATTACTTTATTTTTACATAGTTATATCTCTATGGCCTCATTGGTACATGTTTTTATTCAATTTACATGGTTATCTCTATAGCCTCATCTGTACATGTTTTTATTCAATCTATACATCCTACTATTTCAAACCATGTTTATTTATCCCTATCCTCCAACCGTTTTAATATTAATTTATTGACTCAAATTGTGTTTGTAGCATACTTTTTTTAGGTTGGTCAAATCCTCAAGGTATATATCATGTCATGTCTATGCTTCATCATCCTTTAATAGCCAACTTTATGAATAAGAAAATGTGAAATGAAACAATGAAGCTAGAAAATATTCAATTTCACATATCACACAAAAAAAATTAAACCTTGGTTGTGAAGTTATCTAGAATTAGATGGGGATAAGCCTCGGACATGGTCCCTATAGCCTGCTTATCTTTAATATCATGCCTTGTGACCTGAGATGCAAAAAGAGTGTAGAAAAAAAATTACAACGGTAGAAAAATCTAAGAAAACATTAGATTTATAGATGATTGAACAATATTTCATACCACATTTAGCAATTCAAAATAAGCAGTTGGACCAAAAGGCAAATGGCAGACAATCAAACCGTCGGGTTCACCACGATGTTCATGTAATAGGATCACATCAGTGAAATCATGTGCGCGGCAAACTTCAACTATTTCTTTGATAACCTGTGAACATGAGTGTTAATAGTGTACATCTATTAAAATTTTAAGGAATAACAAAGCATTGCTGCTATAGCATGGATAACAACCCATCAGTTGTCATGAATTTAAAGAGCATGCATCAATGTTAATGTGTGAAAGCCTATATTGCAGCGATATGGGCACGGCAACACGACAATTATTGAAAATATAGGATACGGGTATGGCACGAACGAACATGGAATTATAATTTATAAATAATGCATCAAAATTAAGAAAACAATTAAGACAGATCTGTCACATGACCATTTGTCATATAAATGTCTAAAATAACCTAATTAAGAATCTAAAAAGGCTTGATCTAAGGTTTACCCATTGAGTTGGTGCAATGTGTTGAACTATCTCACAGTGGTTATAACATATAACATAATGCGCTGATCAGAGTGGTACTACACACCCACGACACTCCAGCAAAAAAATTGAAAAGAAGAAAAAAAATATAACTACATAACTTAAACCCTAGAAAAATAAAATTTTCTATTACAGTATTACCTTATCTTATTTTCGATGAAATTTCACATGATGTGAAGGACGGGTGGGCCTGCGACTGGAACTAGAGTTTCTCTCAGTTTCTCGCCGTCGACCTTAGCACTTGAGCAAGTCGAGATCGTGAACGAAGGATTGGAGGGGAACCGGTTTGTCGCCAATCATCTTCCTCGTCACTAGAGCAGAACCTTTCGCTACGCCGAAACTCGTCTCTGGAGCGAAACCCTAATCTCTATGCCTCCACCAGCATTGTGGGAACACGATTAAGCAAGATGCAGTTTAGGAGGACATGCATGTCTTATTTTTCAAATTATTATTTTATTTGGACATTCCTCTGCTATGTTTGACACGTATCTCAGCTGTGTCGGACATGTGTCCGTGTCCGACGCTACATACCTTATTAAGGCAGAGTGTTGGTGCATCATAGGCAAAAAATCTTATTATTCATTATATTATGGATACAATACACACAAACACTCGATTAAGGAAGCTCAACCAGCATTCTTGAATAATAATGAAGGGTTCTATGTAGGATTCCTAACAAAAGGAGGTTTAGTTTAAAAAAGAGTAGCAAGTAAGAAGTGCTCACAAGAGGTAATGAAGCAAAGGAGGCCAATGATGTCAAAGCAATGACAAGCAATTTAGTGTTTTCCCTCAAATTGTTTGAAAGATAGTGGATCCACTAGCCTCAACACAAAAGAGATGTCTCGAGATGCAAAGAGGTTTTCTTGTCCCAAAAGAGAATGTCTAAAGGAGAATCAAGGGACTTACAACATCTCAAGATATGATGTCGAGGGAGTGGGTCTTACCATCTATGGACTTGCACATAGAACAGGAAAATAAGTCCACTTCAATGCGGAAAATGGAGTGAAGAAAATGACCTATTCCTTATATTTTCTTAGAATTTTCTTAACAACTAGAGAAAAAAAAAATGGCTAGACTCGACTAAATACCCATAAGAGTGTATAGTGTATACCTTAACCAAATGGGTTGAGACTGAGCTAACCAAGCACTGGTCATCTTAAGGAGGAATTTAGGCCATGATGGCTTATTCAAGAAGGGTCCACTAGGCATATGGATAGACTTGTGGCCAAATCAACTAATAAATTGGTTAGATTGGATTTTGGATCAACTAAACTAAGGTTTCATTTTGGGTCAAGGCCAAGCATATTATCCTATTAAGTTAAAGAGCTAGATCCATCAACTAAGCTAAGCTGAAAAGGACATCTCCTATAGAAGCTAAGATCCTAAATCCTAAATAAGACAATCTTAGAGCTAAGGTGAACAAGCCAAGGCTGAGCCTCAAGTTTTGGGTGCCTAACAACATAATTTAGACTAGAAGACTTCAGAGGGCCAAAAGAGAAGTAAGCAACATTTACAGCTGGGATAAAAGCCCAAGGAAATGAGGGAAAAAATTGTTTTGGGTTGAATTTTGATTTTCACATAGCTTTTTTATAGGAAATTAAGCTTATTTATAGGCCAATACAACAAGGATAAGTTGTTATCCTCTTAAACTTCACAAAAAGATGAACCATGTATAAACTAGATAAGTTCAAACTAAATGATAGTTAATAGAGGTATTATAATAATCTGAATTTTAATTCAAATAAATCTTATAAAAAAATCAAATTTATCATTATCTTGCTATAATATCAAAATCAATCCAAGGGTTTAGCTTTTGGAGCCTTGCTCTCCTTTGAATGATGTATTATTGACAATTTGATAGTGTCTAAAGACTATTGGCAACATCTTCAGTCTCAACAATGTTATCAAAGAATCACAACTTTAACAAATTTCCCAGAGAAATTGGACCATCAAACATGATCTAATAGATTTGATCAATTTTTCTATAATTTGATGTCCAAATTATGATAATAATCAATATGATAAATCTCTTCTTATTAATCTCCCGATCAGTGACCAACAACAACAAGAATAAATGTTGGTAATTTTCAAATAGATGCCAAAAGCACTAAAAAAAATTATTTTGTGTTTATGTATTCCCAAAGTAAAATTTCATAAAGTAACAAAACATAACCATACATGCATGTAAATATAAAACAAAGTAACACGTCATAACTCTAAAAAATAAATTAAAATATATGTAATTTACAAATAAAAAAATATTTTTCATAGTTTATTGCTAACCACATCTTACTCCATTTTCATGGAACCAATACATCAAGAAAGCTATCTGCTTGAATTAGGCATGCATAAAACCAAAAAAAAAAAAGAACGGAAAGCAGTTATTTAACAAAAATTCTGAAATTCATACAGATATCATGTAATACATTTTCTAACTATAACACTAACGACAATATCACGAAAATAATTAAGTATGTTTGGGAAAGAATAAAAACCTGGCCACCACGATTCATCCTTGTTGCATTTGGGAAAACAATCTTTAGCTCCTAAACAAGGAAACATCAAATAAAAAGTACTTCCACTTAGGACATGAATGGAAATTTAATACATAATGAATACGTCATATCATAAAAAAAAAAAAGAACATTACCTTAACAAATTGGGTAAGAGGAGCACTTGGATTGCGAGAAGTGGTTAACAATATTTTAGGATCCTTTACGGTTGCATTAGCATACTCATCATCAATGAGAGACCTTGGAACTGTCCATAAAACAAAAATAAAGAGGTACTCAGATGCAGCAAGAACCAAGAAAAATACAAATTTAAGAGTTCATAGTAACACAAAAGACGATTCAAAATTAGCAGTTCAGAGTAGGTTCTAATGTGTGAGCATGGAACTATCTGGGGGGGTGCGGGGGCTAAAGCAGAATTTATTTATAAAAAAAATAAGAGATTTTGAATCATTAAACTTATACTTTTATATCCTTAAATTATAGTTTTCAATGAATACCAGACATAGCTTCCCAGATTTAAGTGTGCCTCTAAACACGTCATTTTTAAACTGGTACAGCCAAAATGCAAAAGCTATTTAACTAATTTTATCGGAGATTTATGATTTATAGATAGGATACTAGGTTGAATTCAATTAGACCCACTTAATGACTTGATCTGGTTCAAATTTTAGAATTGGATAGTAATTCAATTGCCAATTCAAATTGATCACTGGCCTCATGAGATATATATATTAGAAGCGATACTCTTTTAAATCCAATAGATGTAAATAAAAAAGTGTTAAATCTCAAAATTGTCCTCAACTATTCACATGCAAACAATTTAATCTCACAGTATCACATTTCTCCAACTTAACCCCTCAATTGTACAAAATTGATCCCAAATGGCCTCTCATGACCTTAACTGTAATCATTTTTTTATAGTCAAGGGAGTAAATTAAGATCAATTTTGCATCTTAATTTTCATCAATTTCTATCTGAGGGACCAATTGGGATTAATTTTGTATGGGCAAGAAGTTAAATTGGAGAAATGTAATATTACGAGCCTAAATTGGCCACAAACAACTAATTGAGGGACCATTTTGAGATTTATTTGAAGTCTAAAAAAATTAAAGCAATCTATACCCAAAATTTTCCACTATTCTAAATCAAAAGTTTTTCATCTCTCATTCTACTTTTATTTCCCCCTTCCTCCCCACCACAAAAAAAAAATGAAAAAATCATGCTTCTACAATAGGAATTAAGAAGTCAAACTTCTTTTCCACCCTCATCCTTTGTTTAAAGGATTACATCAATTCAACATGATTTACAATAAGATTCTGACATTATTCCATATGGTTGCTGCCTCCACCAAATATGCCATTGGATCGAAGCCTCCCACACTTAGTCGACTTCATTAACACCAGACCAATGTGATTCCACCAATTCAATGTTTTTGACTTTAGATGTACAACACCACCCTTGCAATAATGCCATCAAAATTCAGCTTGTTTTCATTCCACTTCAAAGATCAACCGCATCAATGCTCATGGGTCCCTTACTTCCATTACCCCTCCGCATGGCACAAGCAAAAAAGGTTATCGGATTTCAGTGATTTAGGAACCCAACTCTACATCACTCAAAATAAATCATGATGACCCAACCAAACCAACAAGATATCCTCATTGAAATTGAAGCGGTTGATCCAATACAAAACCAACCCATTTGCATTCCTACTTTTAGAGACAATTCAATTTGCACAAGTTCCGTAACACGTCACTACAATTAAAAAAAACAATTAGTGCATTGAAAATTTCTAACCATCAAATAGTATAGAAATAAGAATCATTAATCATCTATTTGACCGATAATTGATGAGGAGCATGTCTTTTGATGCGCGAGGAAAAGATCTATGACAAGAAAGTATTCATGAAAATAAGAATCACTATTTTCTATCAAATTAACTGATGGTAACAGTATGAGGGATCTGTCATATCGTTCATGAATATATTATATAATATAGCAATAACAACAACATCCCATTATCTGCCTTTATCATACTAGGTAAGCAGTTATGAATATTGCTTCTAAGTTAGATCTGAACACCCGGTAGGGTTAGTTGAACCTACCTGCAGTCTGTTCATCCTCAAGATCAATCTCTTGCCGAAGTGCTGCCTCCTCATTCCTAAGCTCAGTTGGTATTGGCTTTCCCTCTGCAGATTGAGTAACTGGCTTAGACGTTATTCAAAGATATAAATGAGAAACAAATCAAAACGAGCAAAGAGAAGCATTGAGTCATACCTTCGAGGGCTTCCCTAATCTTTCGCTTCTTCTCATAGTACTCACGTTCCTTGCCCTCTAAACTCTTCCGATAGAGATACTCTCTTCTCAACCTAATGTTCCTCCTCAACATAGATGAGGAGGAAAAGTTTCAGTGCAGGTGCAAAATTCAGGAAACTCAAGCACTTCTGTATGAACAAATTGTTAATTATTAGATTTCATTGATGCAAAGGTACCAGTGACAACTAAATGGGATGCTTGTTGGAACAAGAAAGCATATTGGAGGAAAAATAGTAAAACAAAACTAACATCAGCTAAAGACATGGGTCAAAATGAAAAGATACAGTTGAAATTGCAACCACAAAAATATGTTTCCATTGCAGAAACTAAATAAATAACTAGTTTTATGAAATTCCATGGGGAGCATCCAACAGAAATGGTTTCTAAAAAGGAAGAGATAAAGCAGAAGTTATATATAGATGAAATTCTTCAGTTTGTAAGAAAGCTCAAACAGTAATACAAAATCATTAACCAAGTAACATTTGGCACATTATGAAAATTTTGCCAGTTCGCATATCAAAAATTCAGTAGAAACTCAGTTACCATTAGGGCTCATCTAGTTGCTTGAAATTAAAAATTATGTCAAGAAAAACTATAAATTTATTGGATTGAGTTAATTGATTGGATGTAGTTAGAAATTAATAGTGATTTTAAACTCTATAAACAACTTCAAACAAATATAGTGTTTTCATTTTCAAACAAATAAAAAAGAGTGAAAATAAACCAGTACTTCTTAAAACATGTTTCATATCCTCTGGCAGGGAATGATCCTTTAGAATAAATGAACAGCAGGATAAAGATGGAAATAACACAAGATTGTGGGTATGACAAGAAGAAGGCAATTAGTCATTTACTGCTTTTAAAAAAAAATGTATTCGTCTCAATGTAAACTTGTTAATTATCCAATAAAGGCAACAAATCTGAAAGAAAATGCCAGCGCATTTTGGTGGATCCCTTGCTTAAAACATAAGAGAAGCATGCATTGATTCCCACCTTCCAGAATAGATTACAAAACAACAAACAAACAAACAAAAAAGAAACAATCACATAAATAGTGGATTTAGTCAATATTGCAAATGAAAATATTTAAGGTCATAGGATATAGATGAAATATTAGCTAAATTATTTAATAATTAGGTATCTTAGGTTTATTAATAGTTTGTTATAATAAATCATAATTAATCAATGAAGTGTTGTTCTTACTATTAATTAGTCACTAACTAGATGGAAAAAATAATTATTATAGATGTATAAAATAAAGCATAAACTAGTATTACAAGCAATTGCAGAATGACCAAGGAGTTCTCAATCAAGATAGATTTACATCAAAGATCAGCATTAAATATGTATATTTCATATTGATTACAAAGATACTCACAAGGGATATTCAAAGTAAGGTACTTAACACTTTTTTTTTTTTTTGATGATTTGGTCCATAAACGAAAACATAGAAGAATGAAGAAAATTTTTAAGAGATAAAAGAGGATTTGAATAATACATATTGAGAATATGCTATATAATTGAATAATTATAAGCCAATATTACTAAAAGATAAATTGATACATAAGCATGGTAGGTTTACATATCTTAGATTTATTATACCGAAAAATATCTCTATAGATGAATAAAAAACTTTTACAATTTCAAATAAGTGATTAATCAAAAAGTGCCTCAAGAATACTGTGTGATAACAGACTATCACGAAGATTTCAATTTAAATTTTAAAAATTATGGGTAGCCCAACAATATTATAGGGATCCAGAATTCTAGCATAAATAAGTAATTGATATAAAAACTAAGCATAACAAAATTTAGAATATTATGATGGATGTGTGATAAATTTGAAAAGAGTGAATTGAGAAATAAATGTTTCATAGATATATAGAGAGTAGCATCTATTATAGATAAAGAAACTAACATAGATTTAGGTTATTTCAGCATACACAATAAAATGTACAAAATACACTCATAAGATGAGTAGATAAAATTAACATCAAAAGATTAAAACAAAAAAAGGTAAATCAAAGGCTACTTGCAACACTCAATAGAGACAAAAGGAAAATGAAGCTGATAGGAATCCGATCTCATAGTAAAAACATCAATAAAGAAGAAAAAACATAGTAGAAATCAACGAAAAAGATTTTTATTTTGGCAAAATAAACCAAGATACAAGTTGATCTACTATTCGAGAGGTAGATCGACTCTCCACAAACCCTAATAGCCGTTAGGAACAACTCTAAAGAAAATAACAGCAAAAAACAATTCACATAATGATAAAATAAAATAACCCAATTTACATCAAGGATCAGCCTTAAGCCCATATCTTTTTGCTATAGTCATGGATGTTCTCACTAGACATTTGCAAGAGGATGTACCTTGGTGTATGCTTTTTGCTGATGATATTCTTATTGTTGATAAGACTAGAGAGGGAGTTGAAGGTAAACTTGAATTATGGAGGTCAACCTTAGAGTCTAAAGGTTTTCACTTAAGTAGATCTAAAACGGAATATATGGAGCGTAATTTTAGTAGTAATAGACCTAGTGAGGGGATTGTGACTTTGGGCGATCAAGTCATTAATAAGAGTACACGTTTTAGATATCTTGGATCTATTGTTCAGAGTGATGGTGAAATAGATGGGGATATTATCAGCAGAATTCAAGTTGGATGGTTGAAGTGGAGGAATGTATCGGGCTTGTTATGTGATAGATATGTACCCCTCAAACTTAAGGGAAAATTCTATAAGATGGTAGTTAGGCCTGCAATGCTTTAAGGTGTCGAATGTTAGCCATTAAAAGAGAAGCATAATACTAAGTTAAGTGTGGCAGAGATGAGGATGCTCAGGTGGATGAGTGGCTTTACCCTTAGAGATATGATACGAAATGAGCATATACGTGAAAAGGTTGGAGTAGCTCCAGTAGATGATAAGATTAGAGAGAGTCGCCTTAGATGATTTGGTCATATAAAAAGGCGGCCTTCCGATGACTCGGTTAGGAGAGTAGAGGTATTAGATTTAACTTGTGTTAAGAAAGGTATGGGTAGATCTAAAAAGACTTGGTTAGAAAAATATTAGGAATGACCTTTCTTTATTAGATTTAAATGAGAATTTGACTTTTAATAGGACACAATGGAGAAAAATGATTCATGTAGCCGACCCCACGTAGTGGGATAAAGGCTTAATGTTGTTGTTGTTGTTGTAACTCTAATGTAAACCTTTCTACTTCCCTTTCAAATTTGAATTCAAATAAGTCCTCTTTCACTAGAAAGTCGTTTTAATACTAGAAAGTCTGGATTCTTTGATTTCAAGAAATTTTTGTACTAAAAAGTCGTTTTAAAAAGCAACAAAGAAGCTGCCCCAAACGAAACCTTAAGCTAGTCTCTCTATTTTTAGAATGCAATGTGTTGGTTTAACCCACTTGAATGAGCTTCCTTTTATGATGTGGTGTTATTGGTAATGCAATGAATGGATTTTTGAATGCTTGGAAGTCAAAAAAAAAAAAAAATCAGCCCTCTTTCACTAAATATATCTTTTCTATCTATCACATATTGTGTAAAAATTTTTCGATTCCTTCTTTGCGAACTCTTATTCATAAGCCACAATTTCTAAAAATCTTTCGTGTGAATTGTCATATTTGAAGTAGATGGGCCATACTCGTTGTGAAGGAGACAAAGAAGGTATAAAAATTTTAATTCTTAAAACTTTTTGAAATGCAATTTGTTTTGGTTTTGAGGTAGGATTAGAACTTTTTTCTATGCTATATTTGAAATATAGACCTGAGAGTATGGCAAAAAAACAGAAACAAATCTTCGGCGTCCCTCTCCATAGAAGGAGCATTGGCCTGAGCTTCTCGCTTTGAAGGAAATGAACCAAGTTTCGTTTTTTTTTTTTTTTTTTTTTAACTTTTTGAAATGCAAAATATTTGGGTATTTAAATTTGCGGTAGTGTTTTTTTTTAATGTTTTTAATAAAACACTAATGCTCTGAAAAATTCTTGTTGAGGCTTGCTTATGATAGAACAACAACTTTTGAGTTGTGTCAAAACAGTTGATAAAGGAGTTAACAGAGTATTAATTTTGAGATGATAGATAGAATTTCGATGTTATATATGTAACTAAGAGAGTTTTTGTGTGAGATATGTAAAGAAGAGAGTTTTTTGTGCTATGTAACAAATCCCACTATAATTCATAGGTTACACCATACATTTAGTATATTCAAATGCTTTTTTCCAACGACAAATTAAAAATATATATTTGCTTCCTGTTTTGCATAGCAACTACCAATTTTCACACTATTGAAGAAAAAAAAATTAAAAAGGCACAAAAATATGTCGAACATAAGCTAGCAAGTCTAACAAGCGAGAGGGGTGACAATAACACTAACAATGATCAAGGATGAAATATGCAGAACCTTAGTTATCCCGCCGCAAACACGATGCATTAGTTTCAACTAGCAGAGATCATTGCGGATGTTGGAGAGCATGGGGTCTAGCTGCATTGGATGAAGAAGGAAGAGTACACCATTCATGGTGATTTCATCCAAGATCCAATAGAGATTGAAGATAATAAGATATGTAAAATGGCATTTTTTTGCCAATGATGTATGATGAAAATAAGAAAGCGAGCTTACTAATTATTTCTACTAGCTAGTAGGAAAAGAAGAAAGACGTACCTATAGCATCCTTATCACAATTTCCCTTTCCCATCCCTATTTATTCTAACTAGCATAAAAAGCTACTTCGCACCAACAATCATCCCTATGTCACCACTTCTCTCACAAACACTTTTCTCCTTCACATCAGCTAGTCACATTGTTCCCCAAGAAAGCTCCAATCTCAACTTCCTCGCTAGTTTAGAAGTTGCTAGGCTGCAACTAGGATTTAGTAAATCCAGTTTTAGTAAATCACGAGGTAGTTAAATCCTAAAAACTATTTGGCACAATAAAGGTTAAATTAAATCCAATTACATCTTGATAAACTGTTTGGCTGCTGATTTCAGGATTTCAGTATGTTAACTCAAACAATGTTTTAATAATAATTTTTTATCATAAAGTTAAAAAATAGTACACAACTACAACAAGATTAATTAATCATACTTATTATATATTAACATCCCAATTTTAATTAGTAAAGTATTAAACTAATGGAACACAAACTCTAATCCAGATATTTTACCAATCTAATTAGATTAATTAAAACATACTTCTTATTTATTAGTACAGTAGTAAACAATTAATTATTATAACATACTTATTATATATTAACATCCCAATCAACTATTAATCATTAAAGTAGTAAACTAAATAAGCACAACAACAACAACATCAATACCTGGGGTCGGCTAAATCATTCATGACAATGCATGAAAATCAATAGAACTAATATAAAGTCATCTTTGTTGTTGAAGGATGAATGGAACTCATTCATGATAATTATCAATTGACAAAATTAACATAATTAAGCAACATGATGAACGGTAATTCTACACATGAATACACAACTCTCCTTGGCCTATTGGTTTAGTACTTAGGCTTCCAACTAAGAGGTCCAAGGTTCGAGTCCATGTGTATGCGTTGTGTGTGTGAGTTTGCCTTAAATGGCCTAAATGTCCCAAAAAAAAAATTCTACACATGAATGAAGCATAAAAAAAATAGAACTAATGTGAAGACCCTTAATAAAGCAATCTTTCGATAGCTTCTCAACCTTCTTTATAAGGAGAAGCCCGACCAAATCAGCCATTAATAAGAGGATCCAAAGTACACGAGATGATTAATATTATGTAATAGAAAGCAATTATCAAAAGACTACCAAATACAGATCGAAAAAGCAATACAAGGGAGCACTCGCAATCTTCCTGAAATGTCGTTTTTTAACCTTTAAGGGCTGTTTGTAGCAGGATTTATACCGGATTTGAGGCGGATTGAGCGAAATCCAGCCAAACGGCCTAAAATGCAAAACCAAATCTCACGGTAAATGAAAGCCGCCCTTGACGGAAAATTACCCCTTTTTGTGGTAAATCCCATATTTCCGAAATCCTCTGATTCGGCGGATTTACGGGATTTGGCCGAAGAAGCGCGCGAAAGGGAGAAAGTTACCTTCACAGCGAACAAGCTCCCGTCGTTGCTTCCGAACAAAATGTCGTAACTTCCGATCCAACAGGAAGGGAACGTCTTCGAGGAGCGAAGTCGAACAGCGACGAAGGAGACCAGCGACGACGAAGAAATAAAGGGAAAGGGCAAACCCCAGGCGTAGGATATGTAAATAAAGTCGCAAATAGTAGAAGATATATTTAAAATGAGTAAATTAATTTTAATAAATAATATTTATTAATTTATTAAATATTAATTCATGGAAATTAATATTTTTATAATTTATTTTAATGAAAATTATTATTTTTAATTAATTTCACAGCCAGCGAGTTCCCGTTGTTGCTTCCGATTAAAATGTCGCAACTTCTGATCAGCGTCGTGGAAGGAGCGGAGTCCAACAGCCACGAAGTAGCCAAAGAACGGACTCGTGCAAAACTCTGCACCCCATGAGAGGGCAAATTATTGGGTCAGGTGACCGGAGCCAAAAGATAAGTTCGGACAGCCAATAAAAATTTGCCGCGTCACCTTGCGCTTTAGTTGCGCTTTTTGACTTGCGCTTTAGTTGCGCTTTGGTTGCGCTTTAGTTGCGCTTTGGTTGCGCTTTAGTTGCGCTTTGGTTGCGCTTTAGTTGCGCTTTGGTTGCGCTTTAGTTGCGCTTTGGTTGCGCTTTAGTTGCGCTTTAGTTGCGCTAATTTTAAAATAATATTTTATTATTATCCGAACCTATCTCTGCGTTCGGTCACCTGACCC